ACCCAAGTTTTTTGTGTCTATGATTAGACGTCACAAGGAGGGAGAGGGGGGGGGAGTTATTGACATCTGTGACAAAGGGGGGGGGGGGGTGTCTAAAAATTATGTTTTTTGATGGTCGTCTTAAGTGACTTTCAAAATTACCAAAATATAAACTTGGATTTGGTAGATGTCAAATTAGGAACTCACAAAAGCTATTTCGTATGAGACGTGATGTACTGGAGATTATGCATTTTAGATATATCCATCTATAGTCTATCTTCTTTAGAGTAAATTAACTGTTTCGGCAAAATCAAGGGATGTTTCTTGACAATCCAAAATACTAGAATTTTTCAAACTTGAGGGGGGAGGGGGGGGGGGGAGGGAGGGTTGATGGTTGAAGATAAGTAATTAATCAAAAAATTCCTATATTATAAGAAACTGATCTAAGCCATTTAAAATAACTCAAGTATCTTATATAAAGTAACACCACGCCTTACTCAAGTCTTAATGTCTTACATCCAAAAAATTCTTTAAAAAAGCATTAATCAAATTTTCTTCTCTTTAATTTCATTCTTTATATCAAGAAATTAAAAGACAAAACCTTGAGCAGTACCAAAAAGAGAAACTTAATTAATTAATAAAAATCATACTCGACGGAGTAGAAAATTTATTAATTTTTATATGCTCAAAAAGACAGATAAGATGATGAAAATATTTCAAGGTAATGAGGTAGGAAGAACAATTTTTTATTCGATGACGCGACAAAGTTCAGTAAACTTTTTAAGGTTATGGCTCTTCTTTATAGCTATAAATTGTATTTTGCAAGGAAAAAGAAGGGCGAGCATGAAGGCTATGCATGTATGCTACCTACTAGATGACAAAGCATAAAACTATTGGGAATAGAGACTATGCAATAAACAAATTAATTGAGCTGCTTTTTTGGGGAACCAAAATGATGTGGCTCAGCAATAGGAAAAATCATTGGGGTTCAATTTGCGGTTATTAGCAAAATAATTTTAGGTTTTTATATGCTTTTATGGTTTAAAGTTCATTCCGCACTTCCGATTAATGTATGGTCAATTGTGAATGTTATTTTGGCATTCGAAAAATCTAGAACTAGTGAAAAATTTGACCTTTAGCTATGTTTGCATCTAGTTTTCTGAATTTATTTTTACATACCAGAAGTGTTCATTAAAAACGGAAAGGTAGAACATAAACTGGTGAGTTCTGTGTAAGGACTAATTCTGATTTTCATTTATATTGAAAACGAACGAAAAACTTGAACAGAAAATGTTATAAATTAAAAAAAAAATATTTTAACAACCAGTAAAACTCGTGGCAGTGTAGAGAGGCTTTAGAATGTTTGGTTTTTGTGATTTAAGGATGTTTGGAGGATTTAGGAGCATAAGAGACAAAGCTTATGATTTTATTGGAATGTTAATTTTGAATACTAGCTTTTGAGATGGGTTATAACGCTGTGTAGGACAAAGAATCCGAATTGAAGCTTACAGGAAACATTATGGAACCTTATCTTCATGATTTTACGGAAAAGGGGTTGGAAGACCCTTTTTTTTGTGGGGTATGAATTTTTTGAATGGTCGGAAAAGTTAAGAAGTTGTTGATTCTCAAAAATCTCTTGCAAATTAAAGAAATTTCACCAGCGAGAAAGAGGTGAGTGAACTCTTTCTCAGGGATATGCTTCTAAATTTAAAAAAAATTATTTGCCTTTAAAATAAAAGGCGTTTTCATTCGGGATTAATCCCAAAAAATTCCAAAAAATCCCAGAACTTCCTGTCATCAAAATTTTTAAATCCTTCCTTTAGTTGATTAAAATATCTAACTCTATCGCTTTATGGTCCATCAAGATTATGATCATAAGAGAATTAAGAGAATTAAGTTCAGGGGTGGGCATTGGAAAATAATCTTTTACAGTCTTCCTAGGATTGAAAGCTACGTTTTGAATTCATGAAACATGAAGTTTCAAGAACATTAAAAAATGATGAAAAGATTTGTAATCTAACAGAAACTTCTGAAGACAACCTTCAAAATCCTCAAAATATCACAAAAACTTCAACATCTGAAAACCCTCAAATTAACATTCTTTGTTTAAAATCTAAACTGTAATTATTGGTATTTAAAATGGATATAATCTGTGTCTGTAATGTGTGCTAAACTTCTGTGTCGATGTCTCACTGGTTAAACAAATCAAACGCAAAAAAATTGTATAATTAGAAAAATACAAAACAGGTTATCGCAATTGTGATAAATATATTTAAATTTTTTTTTTGTATATTTTGAGTATATCAATTCTTTTTGATGTTTGTTTTTTTGTTATGAAACGCAAAATTCTTGATTTGTTTGTTTACCTATAATTTACCGATTTGAGCAATCTTTCCCAGTACTCGTTACTACAATAATTGAAAATTATTTTAGTTTTTGTTTAAAATTTGTGAACAAATAATTATAAAATAATGAGGCATACGGTAACATTAAACTTAGTACGGTGTAGAAATTTTTTTTTTCAATGTGATTTTTGGAAATGAAAGTAAAAAATAAAAAAATAATTTTTGCACTTTTCCTTGCACTTTTTTCAGTCTAAACTACAATATTTGATGATGTAAGTTTCATATAGACGAATTATATTTGTAGATTCTAGGAATTAAGAGCTGAGAAAAAGTCGGTTTCTGAGGTTTATAATAAAAATATTGTTAAGGATGTCAAAGTTAAGGGTTTAAGTTTTATGGTCAAATACATGCGAAGATTCGGGGTTAAAAGCCCCTATTTTAAAAAAGCTTACACTAGAAATCATTGATTTTTTTAAAATCTGAACCAAAGGAAACATCGGATATCGGATCCAACAGATTATGACTTTGACATTATGTATTATAAAGATCCAAAATTTACCCATATCCACTCAAGGTCAAGAAATAACCGGACAATCCTTAGATTCCAATTTAATTCTTATTGGTTAGTTCCTGGGAGACATAAGGCTCCAATGAACAGCTATATAGAAGTTAAACTTTAAAGCCTAGCTTTATCCTCATTCCTGACCATCTTTACAACACCACAAGAGATTATAGAACTTATAATAAAAAGATTATTAAACCAAAATTAAATTTAAAGCTACAAATCATTCAAAAATCCCACAAAATTCTGCAAATTTCACCTGCAGCTTTAAACAAAACTTAAATACTAATGATAACAACCCTTTAAACTTGAATCTGCAGTAAAAAAATTTAATCAACCTCAAAATGGTCAGTGTAACATCTCATTAAAGTATAAAAGGGATCCTCAACAATAATTAGATTAAAGCATGAAAATTCGCACAGCTCAGACAGAAATTTTCTCAGCTCTTAAAATAATTATCAAATTAACAATGTGAATCGTGAATGGGGAGTGTAGACAAAATAAAGAATCCTTTAATAATTTTTTTATGAGGAGCAAAAGGAAGGATTAATGCACAGATAATTGAACAAAACGACCTTGTTAAGGATAATAATTTTTTTTGCTTACAATTTTTTTTTGATGAAAAAGTTTATTTTTGTTAAAAAAGATTTTTTTTCTCCGGTGTAAGTAAAATAATTGCGATGAATGAGAATCAACATTAATAAAAATGCTGTATTTGAGGATTACGGTATAATAATTTCGGTGAAAAGGAAGTCAGCAGATTAATAAAACAAGTCAAGCTTTGGCCAATAGAAGTTATTTTTCTTGAAAGGATGCTTATTAAGTTTTGATTTTAATTCGTTAGTTCTGCAGTAGAGCAAAGATAGATTTTTAAAGGGATATTTGCAGTAAGTTGCAGAATTGCTAACTTAATTAACACGATATTAGCAAAAATTAAACATCTGAAGACCCCCCCTTGAGGGCATAACCGAGCTGCGTAGCTTTAACATCAATATCGGAAGTGATTTTTTAAATATCAAACTCTAAATCATTTAAATTTTTGGCAAGAATATCCATCCAATGACCCCCCCCCCCCCTCTTCCGGCATAATTTTATATTTTTTTTGTTTTGATGTTTAATTTTAGTTGGGATTAAGGGGGGGGGGGTACCATAGATTCTATCATCGGTCAGGATCGCAGTGCTTCCAGCTTTTCACAACGTGTAGTAACACATCGGTTGGCCAGAACCCTTTCACATTATTCTTTGAGGGAGGGGAAGGGGGTTGAAAACTGTTAAAATAGTCAATATGCAAGGATGACACACGTAGGAAACTTGCGCACGTTTCAAACTCAAGCCTACAGAATCATTGCTTAAATTTAATTTATTAAAACTCATTAGGATCGAACTCTGGAATGCTTAGGATATTATTGGTCAGAATAGCCATGTCAATCACACCCAAATTCATAACGCCAGCAGCAAGTTTTCAGTCTTAATGGCCAAAGCTTGAGAAAATATTATTTTTATTATATTTATTTCCTACTAAAGAGTAGAAAAGAGCTCAGAAGGCAAATTTTCTTTTTTTTACCACTCCATAAAAAGAAGGAAGAAGAAGAAGAAGTAAAATAACAAAATAAACCTATCTAATTAAAAGTAAGACGAATTTCTTCCAGTTTCTTCTTATCTCTTTAAAAACATAAGTAAGTAGTTAAAATGAAATGAGATTAAAAGTTTGTTCCTTTTCATCGGACATGAAAATGGAAAAATTTTAAATTGAAATTGAGAATAAAATAAAATAACATTGATGCAGGACCCGTCGGACGTTTCAATTAAATTGAAAGAACTTGTCAGTTCTCACACTTTACACTCATCACCCAAAGAATAATAAAAATTCAATAATAAGAAAAGTTTATTCACAGTCGACGACGATAAGTTGATAGTTTTCTTTTCTTTATTGTGAAAGGGGGGACGAGGGGGATGAGAGAGATTAAGAGAGGAATAGACACAAAGGAAATATACAGATATATATATTTTAAGATAGATAATAGGAAGAAGAGTAGAAAACAGACACAAAAAGATTCATTTTTTTTGAAACATAAAAAAAGATTGAAAAAAAAGCATTTAAAAGTGATTCTTACGATGGTGGTGGTGAAGGCAATGGCACTTGATGTATCTTCCACGTTGCTTCTGATAATGAATGCTCATCCGCTGCATAACATCTCCATAGTGATTGGATTAATGTTGCCGCTGGCTGTCGTCGACGTATCATGTGCTTTTGTCTTTGTTGTTGCTGTACTTTCAAGGCAAATCCGCTGCCAAGGATGCCCTGTAATTATTGAAATTAAAGTGAGATTGTGATGAATAATAATGCGTGGGAGTTACTTGAGGGAAATTGTGTTTTTTACAGGTTTATCACACAGTTTAATGGAATTTTTCTGAGTTTTCAATAAATGTGTTTTTCACGAATACCCCCCCCCCCCCCTCTCAAAACAAATAAATTCATTTTTGAGAATCGTTTATAAATGACGTCCAAAAAAGGGATCTATTACACTACCCCTCTCCTGAGACACCATTTATGAACAACCCTATAAAGAACGTCCCCAAGTTTTGATAGCAAAGAAATCGAAAATTAAATGTGCTTTAGAATTTTTACTCAAGGGGAACTCAAAAAAGAAACAGAAAAAACCCTTCCTTTATGCTGTTTACTCATAATATTAATAATTAAGTAGGGTCGTTTAATTTCCATGTCAAATTTGTGACACTTTAACAACATTTCAAAAGACCTAACCCATTTTACCCACTCCAAGAATTTCTGTTGACTTATAATTCTTTTAATTTTCTACTTCTTGCCTTGATTCCTTAATGGAAAAACGTGCTTGCAATTATTTTCAATTAGAAATGGATGTGTAAGACATTATAAATCCATTCTAATTTCATTTCTTTTATATTATTCTTTACTTGCTTTAGAATTTGTTCATTCTATGTTCAAACAACTGACATGCATGCGCGAATTTCAATTCTCTTTAAAGTTCAAATGAGTGGAAAATTTATGTCAAGTCAGGTAGGTCATGTTGTTCTACAAATAGCAAACAGAACTGCATATTAATATGCAAAATAATTCTAAAGCTTATGCCTAAAGTCAAAATACAGCTTTTATGTGCTTCTTTAATCATTAAAATTAACTTTGTGATTTCAAATGGAATTGAAAGGGCAATGCATGTAGGTAGTTAGAGAATCATATGTTTTTATACTTTGCACATAATTTCCATCAGCATAATGAGAATTTTTCTGTCATTTGATATGATCCCAAGTGAAATATGTATAAATAAATTGAATTAATGGTGTTGTAGGCTTTTAAGCGATTGGGAAAATACTTAGAATTACCAAAAAGGCATAAATAGAGACATAAAATCAACTTGAAACTCAATTAAGTATAACAGAACCCTCTGTACCACTTGGAAATGCTAGAATGAGTTAATAAAAATCTAGGAGTGATTCATTCGCTTTATAATGTCCATAACTAAGAAGTTAAGGCATAATTGGCATGATCATTGCTTTTAAGATTTTGCGGAAAAAAGTAGTAGAGAGGAAGGAGTCGGAATACCCCAATTTTGTAGGACCTCGTATGTGAACGACCCCAAAGTAAGTTGAGAAATCCAAATACAGTGCCCGAAAAGCACAAGTCAGTTAATCGAATAGAAATCCGGAAAAAAGCCGGCATGATGCTGGTTTCGATTCAAATGTCAGAATCTCACTAGCTTGGTACAAGATTTCTGATCGATTAACCAACTTGTGACATTCGTTTTAGTAAAGGCTCGTTTAAGAGTCGATTGTAGTGTCAATCTCCCAATACCAACCATTTCACCTTCAAATTTTACATAGCTTCATTCAAGGCTGTTAACTCAAATGATATTCAACCAATTTTATCTGAAACTTCGCTATCAATAATTCTCCTGCTCATTGAACACCAACTCAACATCCTCAAAAGAAAATTCCCAAAAATCAAATTCAATCATGTAGAATCATGTAAATTCAAATCAGAATCATTCTCCATTCATGACTAAATACGAATAGTGACAAAAATTCTGATTCAAAATAAAAAAAAAATCCTAACTCAGTTGTGACAACATCCACAATCCCTCATGTAGTTTATAATGTACAAAAAAATAATTCCGGATGAAAACTTACCGCAGGCAATGCAAAAAATGATATTCCGAGTAGTGCACAGAATGATGCGATTATTTTTCCTTGCCATGTTTCAGGCACCATATCACCATAACCGACTGTTGATTATTTTTATTTTTTTTGTGAATTTTATATTTTTGTCATACAAATGCAATGACGTGAATAGGAAGGGATGAAAAAAAAAGATTGAAAAATATTATTTTCATAAAAATTTAATAAAAGTTTTTTCAAATTTTTCCGTACCTGTACACAGCGTAATCTATGAAAGGCAAATAGAGAGAAAATTAAGGTTATGTTAAATAAAATTTATTTCCAGATGGTAAACTGTAAAAGTTGTAAACATTTCAATCAATGTCCTTAGCAGAACTTGGGGATCAATCGATTATAACATCTGTCAATTCTGAACACTTTTTGGAATTAAAGCTTTTTTGTGTGACGTCATTTATGAACATGCCAGCTTTAAGTTCTAAGGAAATTCATAAATACGAAGGTTGGAAATTCTCAAAAAAATGTTTAAATTTAAATTGACGTAAACATAAAACAGTTACTAAAAGATGTGTGGATGCTTTGGCATTTTCCTTTTCATGGCATTTATGTTTTGTACGTCACTCAAAGATCCAGGGTTGAGAGTGTTGGCGGAAGCTTTTCATTTAAAGCTAGAAGTTTAAGAGTACTAAAAGACAACACTTCCTTTTGTATTAAAGCTTGAGGGTGGACGAAGGAGCTTAAAGTGTGTGCCTTTAACACCAAAGATGTCCAGGAGTAAAGCATAAGATGTAAACTAGGGAACGGAACTAACGTAACTTTAGTCAATTCGAGTTACTTAATTTACAACTCTAGAGCATCCTTAATCGCTTCAATTTATGTATTTCTCAACTGAATCTAGTCAACAAACTTGAGCACCAACTCTTACTCTCTTCAGATTCATAGCTGAAAGCTTTGATATACAGCAATCATTTAACTCCACATTACATTTCATTTGACACATAAAAATAGAAAAGAATCTCTTCATGCGAGTCCTAATTCAATAAACTTACAAAATATGTCATCCAACATGTTTACATCCTTCTACAGTCAAAATATCTCGAGATAATAAATATGTGCAAAAATACTTACAACGCCCCACCATAAAGCCTGAGCGAAGTTATTAAATTTCGTTTTTTCATTATCTTTTTCCATTAAATAAACTAAGAACGATGCGAATATAAGGCCTAAAAATCCAATATACAGTGTTGTTATGAGTTCCTGGAAGTAAAATAGAGAAAAAGAATTGAAACATGAGGAATAATAAATCAAATCAATTTTTAAAGACTTATGATGAAAAATATTGATGCTGGAAAAGTAATGATGGGTAGAAAATTCAATCTAGAAAATTCATAAAAATCCACTTGAATGAGTACTTTAATCCTTTCTGTAAACTTGTGTCGAATTATTTCGGAGAAGGGTATTAACCCTTCATTATTATGCAATGAATTAGAAGAAAGTTTCAAGGATATCGAACTGAGAAGTAGCAATTTGATGCTGTGTGCTGAATGGATAATACTTCTATTAAATTTTATAACTCAAGTCTTGTTTAACTTTTGCAAAATTTTCAAAGCCAACAATTTTAATTGAGGATTTTTGAATGAATTTTCAGGAAAATTGAAGGTTTTGGAAGCTCTGTTGAAGTGATTTGCATAGCTTATTATTGAACTTTTTGGCAATTTTTCTTTTTTTGTTGTCAATTATTATCAGTTTTATAGAAATATTAGTAAAAGATTAAGATAAATTAATCCTGAGCAACAAGTCAGAGCAATAGACATAAAGCTATAATTTGATGATCATTGTAGTTTGATACAACTAATTTGATCGGATATTGCAGCATGATTTAAATAAATTCTTGATCGCACCGTAGCTAGGGGTCCAAACTGAGCAAAAACTTCGAGACCAATGACTCAAATATGCCAAATTAAGCTTCCTTACTATCCAAATGCTTTGAGATTGATTTCACTTGATACTCAATAAGCACCTGATTGCTGGGTCCTCTTAGGGTATACAACAATCCAGGGAAACGGTTTTAAGTACTCATATTAAATCAATTGACAATTAATTGTCAACTATAGAATCAGCTTTAAGAACAGTCATCTAGAGAAGTCATGGATGAATCAAAATTGAATTTTAGAACGTTTATCTTTGGAGATATTGTACAAATTCTTGTCATTATCCTGGTTCGAAAAATGATTGAGAAACTAGTCTCTGGTGGGAATCGAACCTTTGTTCTCTCAAGAAAAGCCTGCAGATTTTCAATTCTGCTCTACAAATCGACCACAGAGGACATATTCTCCCATTTGCAAATTAGCCTTCATAAAGTTCAATTCCCAAGATTTAACTCTGCTCCAATACGACAGACTAGTAAGCAAGTCTAAACTAATTTAATTCAAAATTGTTAACAATTATTTTAAAACTTCTTCAATCTCCTCAAGCTGATTTTTCATACCAAACTTTCAATTATTATGACAATAAATATTCGCTTCCATCCTGCCATGACTTCCATATTCCCCAAAACACAATTAATTTATATTCCTTTCAAAACAAAACACAAAAAAAATATGCAGACATATTTCCTTAACTCATAAAGTAAATCCACAGCAAATACAAAAGAAAAACTTTTCATTATAATTTCAAAAACACATTTAAACTTTCATTGCATGTCTTCCCGTTCCTGCTTTTGTTCTTCGAACAGCCATACGTGTGTATATATTTTGTTATTTTGACGAGCCAGAACTGAATGAGCCCGGATTTGTTTTTTTTTTCATTTTTAACATAAAAGATAATAAAAACAAGTGGCAATGTATTTTAAAATACATAGTATAAAGGTTTAATCGATAAAACAAGGGAAATGCGAGTGAGGAAAGAACCTGGAAAACCGCAATTCAAATTGCTGTGAAAATTGAAATTAATGGCTTTTAATAACGGGGTTTGGAAAGGCTTTGGAAGTAATTTGTGAAATGTTGAAAAAAGTTTTATGTTTTTTATGCACATTGATTTATTGAAAATAAACAAAATGTGTCATAAATAATTTTTTCAGAAAATAAAATTGATATGGGAAATTCTAAATGATTCATGCCTGAAAGTTCAAATAATGCAGTAAACCCGAAAATATTATCGATCGAAATTTTAATATTCAATGAAAATCTTTTCAATAAAATCATAATCCGAGGCTTAAAAGTATTCATTTATGGACAATAATAGATTTGAAATTGTCATGAGGATTGCTGCATTTTTTGTTTACTGTCCAGTGGTACTGACGAAGGTGTTTTGACCATGGAATCCTTCCCACCCCTGATTAATTCTGAATTGTTTAAATTCGCTTGAGTTTTTGACCCATTCACTTTTAAGGGTGTGGAACTGAAGAATTACATTTTGATCATTTTTGATCGTTTTTGATCATTTTTTGATAATTTTTGATCATTTCATCAGTATCACACCCTTGTTCACTTTTGATGTCCAGGGGGGGAGGGGGGGGGGGGGGGTCTACAAAAAAAGAACAATAGAAATTCCTGAAAATCCATTGGTCATGAAAATCCATTTTTGAAAAAATTACCGTTAATTTCGGACGTGATAAGTGAACCAACCCTTACTGTTCATGCAAAACAGTGAACCCCAACCCCTTCTTTAAATAATTTCTAGCTACGTCCCTGCATTTTTGTTTATTTTCAATGAATAAATGCATTGCACAAAATTTTGTGGCTTTTAAAATGAAATTTTAATGTATTTTTGAAATTTTGCATTTTAATTATTCAAGAGCTAATGTCCACAATTTAATTTCCTATTTACCTCTATTTACTAAATGTAAATTAACTAAACTATACAATTAGCTCATGAGAATTGTAAGAACTCAGGGGCATTGCTAGTGAAAACAAAACAAGGGGGGCGGGGAGGGGGTTTATTTTTATATGAAAAATTTGAGGAGGTATTTTTTGTATTTTTAGTATTTTTTGTGAAGTAATTTCTGTTGACCAAGGAACTTGTCCCTCAAATCCCCCCATTGGCTTTTTACCTGCCGCTACTCAACAATTATTCAATAATACAAGAATAATGCATTTAGAAAATACGAATTTCATCTCAAGTTGATGTAAATTGGAGATAATATTTTGAAATCTAATATTTGCATAGTGATTGAGAGTTACTGACTGACTGCTGTGCTATATTTACTTTTGATTGAACATTATTTTTTAAAAAGCAATAATATTGAAATTTTTTGAATTGTTTGTGAATGATTGAATCTGAGTGGGTTTTTATCAAGGTATAATATCTCATAGATGTATATTTTTTAAAAATAGATGAATTTCAACTTTGTTGTCTGCTTCTTAAGTCACGTATTATTAGATTTATGGATCATATAAAAATTGGTAAAATTAAGTTGTGAATTCATTAAAATATTGAGTTTCAAATTGATTTCCTGAAGTTTTATAGTTGCATACCCCTTAAAATGACGTATTTGAACTTAGTTGCATACCCTTCAAACTCAAATTACGTATTTCTTTATAAATAATATTCTTAAAGTTTTGTCAAAGTCAACAAGTACTTGCAAGTATTAGTTGATACTATTAAATATTTTAAATAGGGGGGAGGAGGGGGAGTGGGTTATTTATAAAACACATTATGTCTTAAAACATATTATACAATGGAACTAATATGTTTAATTATTTGTATTGACAATATAAATTCAGCAATTTCTCAGTATTTTCTTACGAAATAATCATTGCTTTCCTATGAATATTAGTCTTATTGAGTTGCAAATAGAACATTGCAATGTAATAGAAAATAATTAATCACTGTCTATTCAAACTTTGAAGTTTTCAAGTTTTGAAGTTCATTCAAGTCTTTTACATAATCACAAGTTCAAATATTGATAAAATAGATTTGTCAATAAAAGTAATCTACTTACTTGTCTATGAGCATACACTACGCTTCCGAGTAATTTCCAAGTACCACCTCGTCGATCCATACGAACCATCCGAAGTATTTGGAAGAAGCGTAGACCACGAAGTGCACTTGTTGCAAACATTTGCCCCGATGCTCCCATGCCAATAACTACGATTGACGCTGCTATTGTTATTATGTCTGAAATGTGCATAAATGAGACAAATTTTGTGGTTTAATAAATTGAGATAATAAATTGTTGCAAAATATGTGGGAAATGTTTGACATATTTAGAGGTGAGGAATTCAATGTTGAAAATATATCAAGTAGGAATGTTATTAAGGTTAGATAGAGGGCGCATCTAGGGGCTAGACTAGGGGCGCATCCAAAAGTGAGGTATAAAAGAAGACGATCATCGAAACTGGTGTAAACAACATTGCTTTATTCCAAGGGTAGAACAACATGATGGAAAAGTGTTAAAAATAAATTTCTCGTCAGGTTTCGTTCAGAACTTTTTTCTATTGTATTGTTTTCTCCTTGTCTTATCCTTACCCCGACTAAGCATCGAAACGAAGTCTCCCTAATTTTGCTGAGGGGATAACAACATGTTGAATAATTTAATAATTTTTCTCATCATGTTGTTTTCCCCTTCAGTCTTAGCCCACAATTATGAACTCCATCCTTAAAATACCACAACTTACCTATAATACAAAATGGTCTTTTTAAGAATTTGAGGCGACCGATGCCACCTTGATATCGAGAACGGCATCCTGATGCCCAGATCCTGTCATTGGAAAGAAGAAAAAAATTTGAAAACTAATCTTTAAAGAAAAACATAATTTGTGTTGAAAATGAGACGAACATCCGAGTGTCAGCTATGTCACGTAATTTGAACAAAACATTTTTGACATTTTGCCAGAAATGTGAAACAATTAAATTGTCATTATTTCATTCTAAAATAAAATGCTTGCGGAGATGATGATAGTAAAACAATGATGCTTTAAACGCCCCACAAACATGAAAAATAATTCTTCATTTCTATTGCTGGCGTTTCCAGTATCAACAAGTGTGTTTTTATATTTTAATTCGCATATGATGAGAATGTCACATTAATCTTACTAATTGAAACCAGCTCTGGCTTTTATTGTCATCATAAATTTGTTTATGTGTGAAAGCATGTAAGCATATGTTCATGCCTACTGTTAATATGTGTAAATATTTTTATTTTAATATTGCGGCTGTAATTTATTTTTTTGTCGCTGCGATTGTGATTATTAGGTTATATTTGTATGACCATAATCTTATTTTTTTGTAAATTGTGTCTGTTATCGCACATGTTTGTCCACTTAAATTAAAATTAGAATTTTTAAAAAATATTTTGAATATAATTTGAATTTTAAATTTTTAACGGAAAGTTTAAATTTGAATTGTTACCAGAAAAATTTCAATTTTAATTTTAAAGGAAAGTTTGAATTTTATTTCTTAACAGAAAGTTTGAATTTGAATTTTTAACAGAAAATTTCGATTTAAATTCTTTTTTTTAAGAAAAAAAAATTTGAATTTTTTTTCTTCGTTTCAATGCACACAACCTATGCCTTAGTGTAATCTGTAAAAATATATTCCCATCAAGATTTTGCTTTGCATAAATATAATCAGCAACATTGAAATATAAACATTAGTTATTTTATGTTTCATTAACAAACATAAACAAGCAATAAATAACAAATTCCTCGAAAGTTTAAAATGCTTTAATTTTTTTAAAAAGTCTGCGAATGTTTCTAGGAATAGGAGCAATATGCTGTGCTTAAAAAATCTTTCAAGAAATGGAATGCGTATGATACAATATGATGAATAAAGCCCAAGCATACCCATCGTCAACTCATTCCAATTTTATGTTTGTTTTTGTTTGTTAACATTTTTTATTCCTCTGTTGGCATGCCAGGATCTGTTTAGAGATTTTTTTTGTACAGACATGAGCATCCGTAAATTCAAAAGCCATGTAATCGCTAAATAACTTTTTTACGACAATGAAAAATCATGAAAAGAAAGATTTTTTTATTTGTTCTCAAAAGCTTTTTTTCGTGTGCCTGAATGGCATAAAAATGACATGTCGGTGCTTTTTTTGATTCGTTGAATAAAATTCTAAGCCGCTCATTCTCTTTCATGTTCAGCCTGTCGCTTGTAATAACTTTAAAATTGCATGACATTTGACGTTCTGTTTTGCGTATCTCAATTTGATATCGACCAGCTTGATGTTTCTATTTTGAAGCACAAAACATGTGCTGGACTTTTTTTACAAAGCTATAAGACCGGATATTGAGCAAGGACAAAAGTTTTATGGAATTATTAATGCGAAACGGGATCAAAATAGACAAAGTTTGCTTCCTTTCGTGGAATTTCATTTTGTCTTCTTTGTAGCAATTTTTATTGATTTATTGCAAAAATGCTGTGAGCTCTTCTTAGTGTTTAAGATGAATTTGATGAGAAGATGAAGGAACTAAGCTGTGCGAGATGAAGAAAGTTTCTGAGCAAGAATAAAGTGCTTGAACTGTGGATCGTCTTCTAGACTAGATACTAGAGACTAGAGACTAGAGACTAGAGACTGGAGACTAGAGACTAGAGACTGGAGACTAGAGACTAGAGACTGGAGACTTAAGACTAAAGACTAGAGATTAGAGACTTTAGACTAGAGACTAGAGACTAGAGACTAGAGACTAGAGACTGGAGACTAGAGACTAGAGACTGGAGACTAGAGACTAAAGACTGGAGACTTAAGACTAAAGACTAGAGATTAGAGACTTTAGACTAGAGACTAGAGACTAGAAACTAGAAACTAGAAACTAGAGACTAGAGACCAGAGACTAGAGACTAGAGACTAGTGACTAGAGACTAGTGACTAGAGACTAGAGACTAGAAACTAGAGACTAGAAACTAGAAACTAGAAACTAGAAACTAGAAACTAGAGACTAATGACTAGAGACTAGAGACTAGAGACTAGAAACTAGAGACTAGAAACTAGAAACTTGAGACTAGAGACTAGAGACTAGAAACTAGTGACTAGAGACTAGTGACTAGAGACTAGAGACTAGAGACTAGAGACTAGAGACTAGTGACTAGAGACTAGTGACTAGTGACTAGTGACTAGAGACTAGAGACTAGAAACTAGAAACTAGAAACTAGTGACTAGAGACTAGAAACTAGAAACTAGAGACTAGAGACTAGAGACTAGAGACTAGAGACTAGAAACTAGAAACTAGAGACTAGAGACTAGAGACTAGAGACTAGTGACTAGAGACTAGTGACTAGTGACTAGAGACTAGAAACTAGAAACTAGAAACTTGAGACTAGAGACTAGAGACTAGAGACTAGTGACTAGAGACTAGTGACTAGAGACTAGTGACTAGAGACTAGAGACTAGAGACTAGAGACTAGAGACTAGAGACTAGTGACTAGAGACTAGTGACTAGAGACTAGAGACTAAAAACTAGAAACTAGAAACTAGAAACTAGTGACTAGAGACTAGAAACTAGAAACTAGAAACTAGAGACTAGAGACTAGAGACTAGAGACAAGAGACTAGAGATTAATAAACTCATTGCATTACGTCTCAAAATATAGTTCAAATTCACACAAACTTCTAACTTTTCAACAGCATAGAAGTTCAATATTTACCTAAAAATTATGCATGCTTATCCACACAACTTTCCTGTTTGTTATTTGTTCATTTCAATTTCCTCATATTAGAGCTTAAATTATATCTCAAACATGTTGAAAAGCTTTCTTGCAACTCGAGCGATAATAACTTTGTGCATTATAATGTTTGTGAAGTGATTACATACATGCATAAAAGTTATTAAAACTTTTTCTATTTGCATTTCCGTTTTTGTTTTTAATTCTAAATTCAAGTAAAACAAAAATGCTTTTGTTCTAATTCTATTAAAATGAAATCGTTTGAAATAGAAACTCATAAAAATTTCAGAATAATTTTTTTTGAGATTTTCGGATTGTAAAATTGAAATTTTTTGAATAGCTCTATTTGCTAGTTGCCTCCACAAATGAAAATGTATAAAACTTTCAGTTTTTTTGCCTTATATGGTGGAACCATTCATATATCTGAAATCTAGATTTTAATCCTTAATCCAGTATGGGGATTTTAAAAAAATTATTTGAAAAATGGGAGGGGGGGGGGGGGTTAAGTTCCAATATTTCGAAAACATCTGAATATTTTTCCTACACAAAGCTCAATTTTGAGCAAGTCTCAATCTCTTTTTCGTCGACTACTCCTTGATAGACTACCATTTCACAGTTTACTGAGCAAATCACTCAGCAAATCCAAAATAAATCATTTTCCATGTTCAACTAATAGCTTAAGTTCTACAAGTTTTTAATTGCTCAATTTACTCTTTTAAGAAACTTTTCAAACGCATGCATATTTATGGCAGCATAAATTCCCACTTTTTTTATTTTTATATAAAATTGAAACTTTAAAAGTTATTATTCATCTAGTTGATCATAACAATGTGAAATTGATTCAAAAATGTTTTTGCAAAAAGTCATTATATATTTTTTAATTGAAGTCTGAAAAGTTTATGTTTTGGTTTTACATGAACTTGGAAATTATTGACTGAAGTGGATGGAATTGAAACTTTGGAAATGAATAATGATTTGTTCATTGAACTGCGAATGTCAATCAAATGTTTGAGTTTGAAAGGTTTGATTTAAATTTAGAAAAGATTGTGTGGAATATTGGATGGGATGAAGCATCATTTGGACATGATAGGAGTAATGTAGTTCTTAAAAGGGTTATTTATCATCTTGGCAAACTCTGTTTATGTAATATTCCTGTCAGAACTATTTTCTGGAGCTGCCTATAACTCCTTTCCGTCTTGAAAGGAACTAAAACTAGATTAAAGGGTCCGATGCAACCCAAAAAGCAGCTTCTGATGGTTTTAAGTGTATTAAATTGCCATTTCGACAAGCAATTTATGCAATAAGTGAGAGGTCGACTTCTAGTGAGAATCGAACCCACGCTCTCATCAAAATTGAATTACATCTGGTTTAAGGCATCCTTTTTAACCAAAGCTCTAACCATTCAGCCAATGAATCCTTACTCTCGCACTGACAGATTAGCCCATATAAGGCTCAACATCTTACAGGCCCTAGTCACATTAGCTTCTATTAAACTATACGATACCATCATCATCATCCCACATAATTCACTTCCTCTGCAGTATTAAAGTTCAAAATAAGACATTGAACTGCGACTCGGCAACTTAAAGTCAACATCCTTTTTAATTGCTTTAATACCAATTCCATTATCATCAACATTAACGCAAAAATACAATGTAATAGCTGACACGTAACTGTTGCGTTTCAGCAAAATATTTCGTCCAGTAATAATTAATTATGCATTATCACGAGAGAAATAAAAAGAAGGCATCAACTTACCTGGAAGCGAATTCTATTGTGAACCATATCACTACGATAATTTCCAGCTTAAATAGCAGGTCAGCTGCATCCTTCTCGTAGTCGTCGATTGTGGAGAAGACACTTAAGGCTAAGCATGTGAATACCATTAAAAAACTGGAAAGGAAAATAAAAATTAAAAATTCATCAACTTGTTACTTTTTAAAATTTGATTATGGAAAAGGCGTTTTCTTAATGCCTTTGGATTTTTGTCAGGGGGATAACAATGTAATGGAAAAAATTTATAGAAAATTTCTCGCCAGCTTTTCATTTAAATTTTGATAGATAATCAGCAGGAAATTGAAATTCAAAAACTTTTTTCATCATGTTGTTCCCCCCTTTGGTTTTTTACAGCAAATTTTCAATTCCACAACACACATGAACGAATATTACAGGAATGCTTAAGGCATCTCATTTCTGATCTTCATATGGAAGCGAGAAGAAGGAATAAACAAGCTGTGAAATATTCATGAAATATTCAAATAAGTAATCTTATATCAGAAGCATTCTCATGTATCTTTTCATGCTTCTTACTTTCTCAATAACGTGCGGGTTCTTCTGAGCAAAAGAATTGAGTTCTTAGTAAGTTCACTGCTCCAAAATCGTATGGTGAAGCTAATCTGTTTATCGTAAAATTTACAGTACATTTGGGTACGATCTGAAGCACATTGGATGCTTTGAAAAAGCAGATTTTTATCCTCTTCAGCATGAAAAAAAGTTTTTATTTTTCTTGGAAACTTTGAAGGAACAAGAAGTCAATTTCTTCTTGTTTTAAAGGAAGTGAAATTTTTATTCTTATTCGTTCGATGAATAGAGATAGTTTTAGACAGAACAGGAAGGAAGAGGATGTAAACTTTGTGATTTTGAGAGTGTTTTGTTGATCCTTAGATTTTAAAGGAATTTTTTCATCGTTTTTGTGAAAAAGCGTTTCTTAGCTAGATGTGGAACCAAAAACAATGATCAAGCAGGATTTAAGATTAATCTGGAATCAAAACAAAGATCAAGCATGATTTAAGTTATATATGGAACCAAAAGCATAGATACAGTGAGATTTAAGTCAAAGTTTTAACCAATATTAAAGATCCAGTAGGATTTAAGTCTTGTCTGGAACAAAAAACAAAGATCCAGTAGGATTTAAGTCATGTCTAGAACAAAAAACAAAGATCTAGTATTTAAGTCATGTCAGTAAAAATTAAAAACACAAAGATCCAGCAGAATATAAGTCATGCCTTCTTCAACTAAAGAACTCAACTGAATAAAAGGAAACCAACAATTAACAAATTTACACTAACCTTCCACTGACGTAGCAAAGGATAAGCAACCGAGCGCCATGAAAAAAAGTACAAAAATTCTAATTGAAACGGATGTCAAAATATTTTAAGGCAGCGCATGATTCCATTATTAGGGTCTCAAATGTTTGATTTAGCCTCGGATGACCAAAGTCCTTGCTACGCCAATTCGGGAATGATTTTTACATATTTTATAAAGAGCTTCTTTTTAAATGTTGCTTGAAATTAGTTTAAAAATTTATTACAAATAGTAAGTTAATAACAACTAAGCAGTTCTTCTGAAGTAGACTTCCAACAAGTCAAACAAAACTTGCTTTTTATTTTGAACTGCTTCGAGCTAGTCAAAGCTTATACAGTGTTGTCATTCAAGGATATAGATTAGTATATTATGAAAGTTTTAGGTTAAGGACATGCATTTGGACTTAGTTGTGCTGAAGAAAATTCTAAATCGCTAAAGAAAAGTGCAAGATATTTAGACCCCAACCCTGACAATCATTAAAGTTTCAAACTAATAGGAAGAAAGAAGTAGAAACTAAGCAAAAAATAAGCTTTTCAATGAATTATTTTCCCCTTTTTTCTCCAACACTTTTCATGCTTCCATTCTTAAATAGGTCAAATTGAAAGGATATGAAAACAGCAGAACATAAGAATGAGTAAGTACACGAGTTCTTCTGGGACTTAACGAATGGCAATATTTATAGCGGCTAGTCACGACTTTATCAAATTTATTTTCATTCTAATGGGTCATAAAAACTGAATTTAATAAATGTGCATACTTACACCATGACATGATATAAAATAGCTGGTAGCCCACGAGGACGTTCTAAGAAGTTATAGACGCGCGATTGTAAGCGCCTATATCGGGCATCTCGTCGCGCTCCCCGATTATAGTTGAGAGGTTTACCCAGCAGCGACATCCGTGGGCGTGATAGCCTGTCGGCCCTATTTTTGTCAGATAATTTGCAGACACTGAAATAATTTATTAAGAAAGAAATTAGCAAAAACTTTTATTTTATAGCTTGAGCACTAAACAGTCACGTTTTATCACATCCACAAACAATCATCAAATGATTGGCATTCATTTCAATCACACATTAAAATAAAAATCTCATCCTTGACAATCAATTGAAATTAATCAAATGTTAGTAAATTTTTCAATTATTATATTTTGTATCAGTTCCGTATTAGTGAAATGTTTAAAAACAAAGACATGAGAATTATGTATACATTAGTGAGTTCAATTGAAAATGCTACAAATATTGTACAGTCCACAGCAGTGAAAGCTCAAATTAAATAAAATATTGGTTTTTAATTGAGAATTGAAAATGGGAAAATGAGTCTGAAAAGTATTAAGTTTTAATTGATTGAGCGCAAATTGTGATATATTAATGAAGATTGCTCGAGCGACAGAAAGGCTTTATAAGCAACAAGTTTTCTATTAAACCTAACCTGAATTCGAACATATGAACATAGAATACGACAGATCAGAACGATCGCTGATATAATCATGATTCTATTTAGCTGATCCCTAAGTCTGCTTGCTCGGATATACCCTAGTGATCCGGATATCCTAGTATGGCAAGATTGTACTTAAAAAATCAACTTCAACTTCAACTTCAATCTATTCATCTTAAATTGTGCAACAATGTTACTAAATCCTCTAAGCGCTAGCATTTTATTCACAGCATTGATAATTCTTAAATTTATATTTTATACGCTAGCTCAGTATATAGCGCATAATCTTCACTGAGCAGTTGTGTGTCCAGCAGCCAATTAAAAACTCTTTAGATCTTAGAACTAGGTCACAATTTCTGTCAGTTTCGTTCAGAAAAAATCTTCAATGGTGAATTTACGGCTCTCGTATCTTTCTCATTCTGTCTACATAATTGTTGACCCGTTCCTACATCTCATATCATCTAATTCTTAGTTCTACGTCCTAAACTGTTGCACCTAAGAAGCAGAAGTATCTAAACTTCTGAAAAGTCACTATGCTGTTGGTGGGATTTGAGCCCGGGAGTCCAATTTCAATACCAACTTTTGTAACCTGTACCTTGCCGACTGAGCTATCAAGGCACTTTTGCTTCTCAACAGCTGAAGGCGATATCTTCATCAATAGACTAGCTTTACGAAATTTCCAGAAACTTCAAAAAAAATCAACATGACTTAAAAAAAGGTCAATCTAAAAGAAAATTTAGTTAAAAATCAGAGAATCCCACAAATAGCTTCTGATAGCTACGGTAAATAACGGACAATCATTCTAGCCATTGAGCATGAATTAAAAAATATTTTTTAATGAATTGAACAGCACACTATGTATGCTGAAATATCCCAATTTATTTTCTGTATGTGGTTATTTCGACAATTCATTTAATAGCACGAACATAATACTTTATTTTAGTATATACTCCAGACTTTTGTTTATAGCCATTCGTCAATAAATTCATTCAAGGCTGTTTATGTAAATGGTTAATTAACAAATTTACTTTTTTTTTTCATTTTTCCTCGTCTGCGTCAAAAAATTATTTTTTCATTCAGTACTCTTTAATGTGCAAATGTGAGGCTTGCGGTCGAATTGTATAAATATATAGGAACTGTAGTTTTATATACAGAATTTCTCCCCACAAATCCTGAATTAAAACCACTTGAAGGAACCACAATAGTGGTTTGAAAGTGATTAAATAATTATTGTAATGGAACTTGAACAGTTTTTTCAGTTGGCTTATTACTTTTGTGATAAATTGATCACTTGAGTGTTTGTAGGGAAGGTTTGAAGCACTACAGCATTGAGTGTTGAGTAGACTGCATTAGTTCTTAGTGATTCCATTGGAAAATTGCGGATCGAGGTTTGAGGCTTATTCTGATGCATGATTCAGGAACAAAAGAACAAAAAAGACTTAAAAGTTCAAAAGTATTCACACTTTAGCAATATAAATTCAATAGGCATGGTGAATCGGAATAGCTTGAACACTAAGCACTAAAGGAAGTAAAAAGCAGTAAGGAAACATAATACTCAATCCACAATTGCTTCTTTTCTCGCATTCCAACACTTTTGAAGCTATTATTATTATTCGACATGAGAAACTTCCTTTTCAGCACCTGAACAAGCAGCGACAACGTTAAAATGGAATGTTGATGAAAATAAATAATCCAAAAGCTTCAAATTCTTTACATTTTATTCTTAGTGCTTTCCTTTTTATTTTCTATTTCATAAAAAAATTGATTTCCTTTTATGATCCTGAAACATGTTGACTTCATGTTTTTTTGAATTCCCAATGCTCATATAAGTGTGTACTTAGTGACAGAATCTCTATTTCCTTTTATATTACATATTTCCTCCTTTAATCCATTACACGTTCGAATCAATTTTTGTGATATTGTTATTGTAAAAATATATATTCTGATCATTTGAAATTCATGCTGCCATCATTGTATTATTGACATTCACAAAAGCGTCATCCTTTTTTCATTTTGAATAAAAGTCTTTCTTTTTGTTCCTTTAGTTCAATATTGAATGGCAATTTTTTGATTGAATGGGAATTCACTTATGATTATTAAGAGGTTACAGTGAAGCTTGTTGGAAAAGCTGCGATGAGATTGAGAGGTTTTGGAGCCTATTACTGAAGTTATTGTTTTGACTTTTCTAGGAAGTGAGTTGAAGGTATGGCTATAGATCATATCTTGAGTAGGATGTCGTAAAATTGGGGATAAGAGCGTAGCTTGAACATAATTTAATCGAAGATCGATCTTTTTTTGTTTTTAAACACTTTGCTTTATGCTTCAGATCCTTTTAAGTTCTCCTGACTACATTTGTGAAGCTGATTGCTCACTAAGGTACTCAAATTGACTGTGGTACCTGAAATAGCCTTGGATACTGACTTAAAAGATACAAGAATTGATTTGTCTAGCCAGTGAATCCCAAAAATGACTTCCCTTCCACACTTTAATGAATAATAAGCATTTAATCAATTTCTCTTGAATTCAAGTCCTGAAAAATCTGATAATCAAGCTACACCCCAGACACCTAGTCACACCAAAATCATAATCATCATTCCAAAAAAAAAATTTCGCCATGCAAATTTTCTCAAAGTATTCATTCATTCAACACTGGTATTGTGTACATCACGTAATCACATCACAGTATGTATCGCTCATCCTCATCCTCATGCTCAATATTCATTCATTCATAAGTATCTCTTCATCAAGAATGGAATGAAATAGAATATATTTATAGATGAAAAGGATAAAAGGATTCTTATGAAGTATAATGAATATGCCATAGAGGAGGGCATGAAATGAAGAAGACGAAGAAGAATTGATAAAAAAAAAATGCAAAGATAAATGTTTAGATTGCAACATCTTTATGTCATTTTGAATAATAAAGAAATAACGATGCACAATTTAATTTGCATAAGGTTTTCATTATCCCGCCTCTGACGTTGCAGCTTCTTTTTTGTGTGGAATATGATAATCGCTCATCATATCTGCTTGCGGTATCCAAAAAAGAACTATTGGGTCGTTCATAAATGATGTTCAATTTTAGATTAGGGAGGAAACATTTCCATACAATTGGGAGAGCTTTTTACCGACTGGAGAGAGCAGGAGGAGAGTTTTTTTTTATTATAGACATCATTTACAAAAAACCCCAATAAAGTTATATATTTATAAGTTAACATATGAACACATACAAGTTGCGGTTAGGGATGTTTTTTATCATTTTGTGGCTGTGTCTTTTATGTAACAAAAATTGAGAATATTTTATAGCAAAAATATGGATGCACATATACGAATTGTAGCATTAGAGCTCAATTTTAAAGGATGTCAAGCTTTATAGGGATATAAAAGTCATTGAAGTAAGGCATAACTTAAGTTTGATTATGAATTTATGATTCTTTATTAAAATTTATGGTCTATGGAAAATTAAATTGTTATGATTGCGAGTGACTGAAGCATTTTAATTTAGAATTATTCCGAAAATAGATTTACATCAATTGAGTTAGATTTGTTTTGTGGAAAAAAGTGAATTTAATTTGTTTAAGATTTTGTTATTGTATATTTTGGATATTTTGATTAAAAAGCTAGTTTAGGTTGTGAAAGGTTGTTTGAATATTATGTCATGCTGAGGGTTATGGTGGGACCACAAACATAATTAGATCTTTATTCGATTAAGAGGAAGGAGGACTTAAGATTAATTCTATAGAGTGACCAGAAAATTGACGAAATTTTTCATGCTTTAACCTCAAACCTTCCATTATTGGCTAAACCAGCCTGGCTTATGCGAGGACATAAGATTGAAGAAGGATTGTTTACAAAGTATCCTCTTCTGATACTTACTTACTTCGCTGGTCGTACAGATCAGTTGTGATCCTCAATCTTCTGATATTCAAACTTATTAAATCATAAAATAAATTCCTACAGCACTTAAAAGTGTCTCATAGAATTTGTCAAAAAAGCAACCCCAAGCCCAACATTCCTCAATCCATCCATAACTCATATTCACCATTTCACAATGCTTTTGTTATTTAATTGATTCCATTCCGCATAATATTTTTACTACCATTTTATTGCCGTTCATTTTATTATGCCACTAATTGCTCGACCGTCTAAAAACTTTTTTTTCTTTTCTTATTTTTTTATGATTTTTTTTATTCATTACAAATTAAATAAAATGAGTTAAATGACATCATAGCTTTTTATCAGACCTAAATCAATATTTTATTTTCGTCGCTGTAATTGCAAATGACAGAAATAAAAATTTATTTGAATTTTTTTGTTCACGAAGTTGAAAGGTTTGGTAATTAAAATTATCTGATTAATTCACTAATAGGATAATTATACAGAACAGAATTACGAGATAGAGTGCAATAAATTTGGATAAAATCTAACGACTTACTCTCATAGCTTTATGACTGAAAATTATTCAATTCATTTACTTTTTATCAGTAAAGCTACTCATTCATTATGAAATTAAT